TACTCTACAGCCCTGTATGGTTCAGACACCCCATGGTCTGTATAACGGGTCACTCTACAGCCCTGTATGGTTCAGACACTCATAGGTCTGCATAACGGGTCAGACACCCCACGGTCTGTATAACGGGATCTCTCTACAGCCATGTATGGTTCGGACACTCCACGATCTGTATAACGGGGTCAGACACTCCACGGTCTGTATAACAGGTCAGACACCCAACAGTCTGTAAAACGGGTCAGACACCCCACGGTCTGTATAACGGGATCTCTCTACAGCCCTGTATGGTTCAGACATCCCACGGTCTGTATAACGGGTCAATCTACAGCCCTGTATGGTTCAGACATCCCATGGTCTGTATAACGGGTCAGACACCCCATGGTCTGTATAAGGGGTCACACTACAGCCCTGTATGGTTCAGACATCCCACGGTCTGTATAACGGGTCATACACTCCACGAGCTGTATCACGTGGTCAGACTCTACACGGTCTGTATAACGGGTCAGCCCTGTATGGTTCAGACATCCCACGTATAACGGGTCAGACACCCCACGGTCTGTATAACGGGTCAGACACCCCACGGTCTGTATAACGGGATCTCTCTACAGCCCTGTATGGTTTAGACATCCCACGATCTGTATAACGGGTCACTCTACAGCCCTGTATGGTTCAGACACCCAATGGTCTGTATAACGGGTCAGACACCCCACGGTCTGTATAACGGGATCTCTCTACAGCCCTGTATGGTTCGGACACTCCACGATCTGTATAACGGGGTCAGACACTCCACGGTCTGTATAACAGGTCAGACACCCAACAGTCTGTATAACGGGTCAGACACCCCACGGTCTGTATGACGGGATCTCTCTACAGCCCTGTATGGTTCAGACATCCCACGATCTGTATAACGGGTCAATCTACAGCCCTGTATGGTTCAGCCCTGTATGGTTCAGACATCCCATGGTCTGTATAACGGGGTCACACACCCCACGGTCTGTATAACGGGATCTCTGCCCTGTATGGTTCAACGGGTATAACACAGCCCTGTATGGTTCAGACACCCCACTGTCTGTATAACGGGTTACTCTACAGCCCTGTATGGTTCAGACACCCCACGGTCTGTATAACGGGTCAGACACTCCACGATCTGTATAACGGGGTCAGACACTCCACGGTCTGTATAACGGGTCACACTACAGCCCTGTATGGTTCAGACATCCCACGGTCTGTATAACGGGTCATTCTACAGTCCTGTATAGTTCAGACATCCCACGGTCTGTATAACGGGTCAGACACCCCACGGTCTGTATAACGGGTCACTTTACAGCCCTGTATGGTTCAGACATCCCACGGTCTGTATAACGGGTCAGACACCCCACTGTCTGTATAACGGGTCACTCTACAGCCCTGTATGGTTCAGACATCCCACGGTCTGTATAATGGGTCATTCTACAGTCCTGTATGGTTCAGACACCCCACGGTCTGTATAACGGGTCACTTTACAGCCCTGTATGGTTCAGACATCCCACGGTCTGTATAACGGGTCACTCTACAGCCCTGTATGGTACAGACACCCCACTGTCTGTATAACGGGTCACTCTACAGCCCTGTATGGTTCAGACACCCCATGGTTCAGACAGACACCCCACTCTGTATAACGGGTATCTACAGCCCTGTATGGTTCAGACACCCCACGGTCTGTATAACGGGTCAGACACCCCACTGTCTGTATAATGGGTCATTCTACAGTCCTGTATGATTCAGACACCCCACGGTCTGTATAACGGGTCAGACACCCCATGGTCTGTACCGTAGGTTATCCTTCACCCTGTGTAGTCACAACACCCCAGTGTCCCTATAATAGGTGATCGCACTGCCTAGTAAGGTCCAGACACACCATACTTTTAGTGCTGGGTCATTCAAAGTCCTGTGTGGTCCAAGTACCCTATGGTCTGTACGAAGGGTTACACGCTTTCCGCTCCGAAACACTCGCTCCTTTCGGCGTGAATGATACAGTAACACACACGATGGAATGTCTGTTTGTCGTCTACAATTTGTGCTTCCCGTCGACCAATATAAATGTGAGTCGGGTATGTTTCTTTTTATGAAAAATATCTCATAAAATATCTACTATGCGTTATATCATATGTACATATTTTTGATGGAAATATGCTGATAAAGGCTATTTAGTATCTCACCAAATGTAACTCCACAACAAAGGCGTGCATTCACCACTACTTGTTCTCAAGTGTCCTGGTCCTGAGTCGTACCACAGTTATCCCAAGAATTGAAGTCTCTCTACACCACAATTTAACGAATTACTGTATAAAATGTGTCATATATTACCAGCTCTGCCTCGGACTACTCTCTATGACAGCTCAGTCGGTAAGTTCTGAGGTGCACAGTTCGACGCACTTTACCAGCGACGGTTTCCCGGAAAGCTGTCAAACGGGTCGTTATGTGCTCTATTATCAGACCAGGTCAAACCTTCTATATAATCACACCTGCTCTCTGGTCAAACAGTCTATATAATCTGACTTTAGTCAGACTTCTCCCTAATAAGACCTTAGTCAGACCTTCTCCCTATTTAGATCTTAGTCAGACCTTCTTCCTAATAGGACCTTAGTCAGACCTTCTCCATAATAAGACCTTAGTCAGACCTTCTTTCTAGTCAGACCCAAGTCAGACCTTGTCCCTAACAAGACCTTAGTCAGACCACCCCCCAAATAAGACCTTAGTCAGACCTTCTCCCTAATAAGACCTTAGTCAGACCTTCTCCCTAATAAGTCCCTAGTCAGACCTTCTCCCTTATAAGACCTTAGTCAGACCTTCTTCCTTGTCAGATCTTAGTCTCCCTGATCAGCACTTCTTTCTAGTCAGACCTCCCTTATGAGACCTTCCTATTATCAGATTAACTATATAATCAGGTCTGCTCTCTAATCCGACTTATCTTATTCTGACACATTTTAGAATCAGATACACTCTCTCACTAGACCTACTCTCTACAGTCAGGTCTCGTTAAATATAAAACGACCCCCACTTTTAATCCAGTGTTTGTGTTGTGGTATTCCTTATGGTAAGTAAATCTCTAGAAGAAATTCCTGTATTAGGATATATATTCAGTTGATGGATTTTTTTCTGGGTGGAATCTTCCTCGATCAACCTTCACAAATGCTCCCTGCTTTGTAATCGCCTGACAGTAAGGTATCCCCCGTAAACAAGTCTTTACCCCAGTCCTTGATCATCCGAGTTTAATCTGACATTTGATTATGTGTCTCCATTGTAACCTACCTGTGAGATCGATACGAGTATCCCAACATAACCAAAAGGCCGCTATCATACACTCCTTCACGATATTACATAGCCTATCTAAATATTGTTAACCCTGTACAAACCAAGAATCAATATACACCTCACCAAATATACCAATAACCGAAAGCGTTATACATTTTGAACCAAAAAAACCTGCAAGAAATACTAATACACTATAAGATTTCCCTATAACCCTTCAATATACATCAATAAACCAACGTGTTATACCTATAACCCTTCAATATACATCAATAAACCAACGTGTTATACCTATAACCCTTCAATATACATCAATAAACCAACGTGTTGTACCTATAACCTTTCAATATACATCAATAAACCAACGTGTTATACCTATAACCCTTCAATATACATCAATAAACCAACGTGTTATACCTATAACCCTTCAATATACATCAATAAACCAACGTGTTATACCTATAACCCTTCAATATACATCAATAAACCAACGTGTTATACCTATAACCCTTCAATATACATCAATAAACCAACGTGTTATACCTATAACCCTTCAATATACATCAATAAACCAACGTGTTATACCTATAACCCTTCAATATACATCAATAAACCAACGTGTTATACCTATAACCCTTCAATATACATCAATAAACCAACGTGTTATACCTATAACCCTTCAATATACATCAATAAACCAACGTGTTATACCTATAACCCTTCAATATACATCAATAAACCAACGTGTTATACCTATAACCCTTCAATATACATCAATAAACCAACGTGTTATACCTATAACCCTTCAATATACATCAATAAACCAACGTGTTATACCTATAACCCTTCAATATACATCAATAAACCAACGTGTTATACTTATAACCCTTCAATATATATCAATAAACCAACGTGTTATACCTATAACCCTTCACCAACTAAAACAGTAGAACTATATGATAAAGATCCTACATGATAATCGCCTCCCAGACTTACAGTCCTATCTGACAATGCACTTTATATTGTCCAAACTGATAACCCTATGTGATATACCAAATTATGTCCGAAAAAGATAAACACTTACAACCCCATGATAAACACTAATAACCCTACGAGATAAACACTAATAACCAACATGATAAATACTCATAACCCTATCTGATGCCACTAATAACCCTACGAGATAAACACTAATAACCCAACATGATAAACATTAGCAACGCTACAAGATCAAAAGTAATAACCTTGCGAGATAAATAATAACCCAACATGATAAACACTCCTAAACCTGCGTGATAACACCAATAACACAACGAGATAAACACTGGTCACTGTTCGAAATAAACAGTAAAAACCCGACGAGATGGACACTAATAATCCTTCGAGATAAACACTTATAACCCTAGATAAAGATTAGTCGACACAATATTTGAACTTTCTATTTCGGTACAAATAAGGATAACGGAGATATTCTAGATGTCAGTCGCAGGTTAATTGAAAATATCGATATCTAACAAGAACATTTCTTCACTATGTCGTTAAATCGATTAAGTAATTGTAACGGCAGTCGATATTGGTCCACACGTGACAACGCGCGACACGGTGACATCGGATGTGAGGAGATCATTGCATTGTGATGGGTAGATGATGCCAGCAACAGTATGACCAGGTAGCGCCAACAGGAAGCGTCCTGTAGACAAGTGTATACGTACCTGCTTTGCATGGATCCATGTAGACATCGCTGGAGGTTTTGTGAGGTATATTCCGCTTCAAACGTTTGTTGTATAAATGTGGGTAGGAATACATGGTTACACCAACTATTCTATCCAAGTAAAGAGTTAACATCGAGAAAGTTACGCACAGCACGTGTTTAACATTCATTTTGATCCTTGTGTTTAGTTTTTTCTGACACTGATGGGTATAAAACAATATGTATCACATGAAATGACGATATATCATATCATAAAATGATATCAACACATCAGAGATGTAAACATCAGTAAATATCTCCAGTACGTCTCATGCTCGCGTGCTGTCGAGGACGGAATGTCGTTCTCACACAGTTGTATATTTCTCAGGAGAGTTTCATCTTTGCACCGTAGTAGTGCTATCCGTATACATACATCTACTGTACACCTCCTGTCTAAGGGAGCAGCACACACTGCCTCAGTCCGCCTCCGAGCTCTGTACCTCGTCCTGTCTGACGCTCCGCTTACATACCGGACAACGAACCGAACGCACCCGCGTCTGTTCAATCAACTGTGTCCTGTCAATATTCATAAAAACCAACCAATGACAGACTAAAGTCACTCAGGCTCATTCAGGGTGCCGTAACTAAGATAATTGAAAGAATTGCTACATACAAAGAAATTGATAAGTTAGAAGTGGGAATGGACATACGCACCATTTAACCCTAATTCCTAATTTCCTCGCTGGCTCGGACAATACATTAATTCGACACGCATACCAAGTAGGCTTTCCACAACTTTTAGAGGTTCTATCGATTTATATTTCTTCGTTTAGTTAGTCCAAAATTCCTTAGTTAAACATTGGAGATGAAGCCGATACGTAGGTTATACATTCATCAGATACAGGTACAAAAATTGTGTAAAAGTGATTAAAATACCAGACAACGGCATGTTTTAACCATCTGGTACATTTCTAACATGCGAACGTTTGCTATTTTCATTATATACGTGGTGGGATTATTAAGGGGAATGGTTTGTAGAAACTGTGAGAACAGGTGCCCGAGTTAGTGATTACACTGGTATTGATAAATCACTACATAACATCTCCGAGGATCTAATACTGGGCCAGTGGGCGTGTTCTGTGACCGGGGGTTGTATGCCCCGCCGGGAGAAGGCATTGTGTCCGAATAGTTCGGTCCGATTAATGGTTTCACATACAAACAATGAGCAGTAGAACCCCTGCAGAAATATCACGGCTTTCTCGTAGTGAATGTTAACTTTTCTAACAAGACAAGTGTCGTTCTACAGAGAACAAGTATATTATGAAAGCTGAACTTAATCTAAAGAACGCTAATCCGCCAAAGAGCATGATTTTAACTGTGTTTACTGATTGTATGGTTCATAAGGTCAGAACACAGTTTGTAGTCTAAGTCGGATTCACAGGTTACTGCTCCAGGGTTCGGCTTACTGATTCCATGTTAGTGAGATGTTGGGACGTGTATGTTTGGACTGCTACACGGAACACGTGCATTATATATTAATCAGCCTGTATTAAGGACTGGTTCTCATTCATGTTGTTATCGTTGAAAAATGAATAAACTCCTCTGTGTAGCTGTTTTTATCAAAAAGTGTCTTTCTCCAATGGGATTTGACTATCTCACCATTAATTAGTAAAGGTCTAATTATTGATTAAACAAGTAATAAAACAATGCGTACAAATTGATCAGCGTAGACAAACAAAAGGCTGTATGGGCGACAAGGAGATAGTTTGATCAAGATGCCTCTATCGCCACGGCAGGCGACAGTCAATACACGTGTGCTCTTATTCCCACTGGACCACGTCTAGACGATCTATATGATGCACGCGCATCCTTGCTGTGTTTGCGAGTGATACAGATAATAAAAAGCAGACATTCCAATTAGTGAAATTTAATTAATAAACTATAAAAGTAGCTTTAGAATTGTGAAAACACCACTTTTTGAATTAAAAATTTACAAAAAAAATCAATAGAAACATTAACACTAGAACTTGATTTTGGTGCCATTCCGCGATCATGTCAACTCGTCACCATACTGGAATGTCATCATGTCCCTGTGTCATTTCAACCTGTGTCCGTGTCATTTTAAATCCTCACCATATCGCCATATTAGCTCAACTGCTCTGAATATCGCCGTGTCGTTTCAGCTCGTCACTATATCGCCGTGTCATTTCACCTTGTCACCATATCACCGTACCATTTCACCTTTTCACTATATCACCGTGTCATTTTTCCTTGTCACTATATTGCCGTGGCATTTCACTTTGTCACTATATCGCCGTACCATTTCACCTTGTCACTATTTAGCCGTGTTATTTCACCTTGTAACTATATCGCCGTGCCATTTCACCTTGTCACTATATCGCCGGGTTATTTTACCTTGTCACTATATCGCCGTGTCATTTCATCTTGTCACTATATCGCCGTGCCATTTCACCTTGTCATTATATCGCCGTGTCATTTCACTTTGTCACTATATCGCCGTGTCATTTCACCTTTTCACTATATCGCCGTGTCATTTCACCTTTTTACTATTTAGCCGTGCCATTTCACCTGGTCACTATATCGCCGTGCCATTTCACCTGGTCACTATATCGCCGTGTCATTTCACCTTTTTACTATTTAGCCGTGCCATTTCACCTGGTCACTATATCGCCGTGCCATTTCACCTTTTCACTATATCACCGTGCCATTTCATCTAGTCACTATTTAGCCGTGTTATTTCACCTTGTCACTATATCGCCGTGCCATTTCACCTTGTCATTATATCGCCGTGTCATTTCACTTTGTCACTATATCGCCGTGCCATTTCACCTTGTCACTATATCGCCGTGCCATTTCATCTTGTCACTATATCGTCGTGTTTTTTCACCTTTTCACTGTATCGTCGTGCCATTTCACCTTGTCACTATATCGTCGTGCCATTTCACCTTGTCACTATTTAGCCGTGTTATTTCACTTTGTCGCTATATCGCCGTGCCATTTCACCTTGTCACTATATCGCCGTGCCATTTCACCTTGTCACTATATGGCCGTGTCATTTCACTTTGTCACTATACCACCGTGTTTTTTCACCTTGTCACTATATCGTCGTGCCATTTCACCTTGTCACTATATCGCCGTGTTATTTCACCTTGTCACTATATCGCCGTGCCATTTTACCTTGACACTATATCGCCGTGTCATTTCACCTTATCACACTTATTTCACTATTCATCATTTATTTACAGTAAAGATACAGAAGTCAACTAAAGAAGAATTTGCCATGTCGAGATTGCTTCTGTATACATCAAATTATCCCGGAATTTGAGTGTTAGAATACTTCGACAGGATTTGGGAAGTTTTGCATTGGAGGCAGGCTAACTTCGCTTTCTCTTAGCTAATACAATATCTTATATCAGAACTATTTAGTAATACTTGGCCCCAGTTTCACCAATATTCATTAACTTAAGGAGGTCTTAAATACAATATAAAATTATTACGTAAGTTTAGGGAATAATAATTTTCTATGTGCAATTTTAAGTTAAGGAAAAATTGGTATGTTAAGGAAGATTCGTGAAACCGGGAGCAGGTCTTATGAACTACCCACGTTGATGTGAAGAGGATGAGGAGATTTTGTGTAACTCAGTATACCTGGCAGTGAGGGGCAGACAACGAGATCGCTTGACATCTTGTGTATCAGTAACTATATAACCTTGATCGCTACCTATGATTATCAGACACCTAAATAATATCATTTCAGATTGTATCTACTTTTTGCCGAACTTGTCTCCTTGACTGTCTGTGTGCTTTCTGGTTCATATCTGATAGCATCACAACGTGCATTACAATGTGATATGCCAGATGATTCTTGTTTCGCAATTCTCCCAAAACACAAGATATCGGGGTAATTTGTACTTGAAACGGATTTAGACAGAAATCAGTGACTAAGAAAAGTAGATGATGACGTTTGCACTCAAGGCGAGCGTGACATTAATATGAGTTCCTCCAAACTTTCATTTGTTTTGGCTTCGAAAGCGTCACGAATAAACGTACGCCTGCACCGGAAAGAATGTGGTACACGTCCACGTCAAACACATCTGTGACGTAATAACAAGTAGATCCGCCCATTTCTCTTTTCGAACTGCACGACCAGTTTGTAAGAAAGAGTTCCTACGGCGTATGATTTACTCGCTGGCGGTGAGGCAGTGTGCCAGGCATGCTATCTACAAACATGTAAACACAGTTTTTATATTTCCTACGTTAAATACACATCGAACTGAAACTCTCAAACTTACCAAACTGTGACGTAAGTATAAGAGAACCATCAAGTGTTACCCGTAAATATTTTCATGAAAACAACATGTGTTTGTCTCTAAACAAAGTCCTTACATACGCAGTACCTGGAACACCACTTGAGGCCATGCTGTCACAAAACAAATAAACAGTTGCAATGTTTCCAATTCTCAAAACACCTGTTGTCATGTCGTCATCACACAGACACCTGTTGTCATGTCGTCATCACACAGACACCTGTTGTCATGCAATCATCACACAGACACCTTTTGTCATGTCGTCATCACACAGACACCTGTTGTCATGTCATCAATCAAACACCGGTTGTCATGTCGTCATCACACAGACACCTGTTGTCATGTCGTCATCACACAGACACCTGTTGTCATGCAATCATCACACATACACCTGTTGTCATGCAATCATCACACAGACACCTATTGTCATGTCGTCATCACACAGACACCTGTTGTCATGTCATCAATCAAACACCGGTTGTCATGTCGTCATCACACAGACACCTGTTGTCATGTCGTCATCACACAGACACCTGTTGTCATGCAATCATCACACAGACAGCTGTTGTCCTGTCATCATCACAAAAATACCTGTTGTCATGTCGTTATCACTCAATCATCTGTTGTCATGTCGTCATCACACAAACACCTGTTGTCATGTCGTCATCACTCAAACATCCGTGATCATGCAATCATCACACAGACACCTGTTGTCATGTCGTCATCACTCAAACATCTGTTGTCATGTCGTCATCACGCAAACACCTGTTGTCATGTCGTCATCACACAGACACCTGTTGTCAAGTAGTCATCACACAAACACCTGTTGTCATGTCGTCATCACTCAAACATCCGTGATCATGCAATCATCACACAGACACCTGTTGTCATGTCGTCATCACTCAAACATCTGTTGTCATGTCGTCATCACGCAAACACCTGTTGTCATGTCGTCATCACACAGACACCTGTTGTCATGTAGTCATCACACAAACACCTGTTGTCATGTCGTCATCACTCAAACATCTGTTGTCATCTCGTCATCACGCAAACACAAGTTGTCATGTCGTCATCACACAAACATCCGTGATCATGCCATCATTATACAGACACCTGTTGTCATGCCATCATCACACAGACACAT